AAGCAATGGCTGATAAATTTGCTGAAGAAGTCATGAAAGAATCAGTAAAACTTCTGAAACGAAAACGAACTGTAACTCCCCCGAATAAATCTCCTACTGACAAACGAGCGACAAAAAAAGCGGCTCAACGAGCTGAAGCGGAACCCTCGATTACTCGACAACTATTTCAAGACTCGGATGATGCGGGGAGCAGTGACGACGAGGAAATAAAAGAAGAGAAGAGATTACGTGGGCTGAATGCCGGTATAAAAAAAGTATATACTGACGATATCAACAGCTACAAAAGCTCATATGCAAACAACCTGTACGAGAGTATCCGACAAAGATTTGGCGAAGCTATTGAGGCGCGCAAAGGCAAAGAATATTTTGGAGACAATGCTCCGAAACCGTCAAGAAAACATAAAATGTCAAAGACTGCTATGAATCAGTACAAAGCGGAAATGAAAGGCTGGCTCGATGGGATCTTTATTTAAACTGAACTTTGTTCAAGTATTTTTTTTTTCTAACTCATTCACTTTTTTAATTAGAAGTTTGATGGCAGCAGCATTTAAGGCGCCAAGTTGAGAGTAATCCAAAGTATATTGATATCCTTCCAGATCGTTATCCCCTTCTTCTTTCATATTTTCATTTGGCATAATGCTGACCATTTCTCCACACACTTTCATTGCATCCTGCGCAATCAGTCCAAGTTTTGCTTTGGTCTCTCCCTTCCAGTTGTAACTGACTGGTTCCAACTTATCATAGTGGTCCAAGGTGATTGAAATAGGTGTTATATTCTCCTTGAGTCGCCTATCAGAACTTGTGTATATGGATTGCACACAGAAAATGGAAGAGGAGAATATCGCAGAGACCGTAACACTGACTGGGCCTAATCCCAAATTGCTCCAAATGTTTCCTTGTACATTGTATTGATAACAATTTGATGTTCCGCCAACGCCAACCGTGTATGAGTTTGATCCAGAGACATGCAAAGTCGCCGATGGCGATCCAGTTCCAATACCGACTCTACCGGCTGAAGATACTGTAACTCTTCGTGTATTTGCAGTCATCAAAACCAGATCGTTGGTAGAAGTAGTTCCAAAATACGCACTATTGGTAGAGGTTGCATTCGTTGCATTGCTTAGTTGTAATCCGAACCCAATAGGCGATGCGTTTGACGATTCCATGAAGATCGGCATATCAAAATTAGCAGTTCTGTCATTGAGTGCATTAGAAGCTTTTATATAGACATTGCCCGAACTTAGTGTAACAGGAGCAGTTCCGAATGAGCTGGAGTATGGCGTATTAGTATTGAACAACATTTTATTCACAGTGTCTGAAACAAGGTAAAGACATCCACTTGATGGTGTAGGCGATGATCCAGCAGGATTTATACAAAAAGCATCAGCTGAGGTAGCAAGAGTGTATGTATGAGGATAACCGCTTTTGTAGGGCTGTCCATTTCCAACATTAAAGCAAAACCGATGTGTCTGAGATGTGAAACCAACAGTTGGTTTATCGTTCCAATTGATATTGAATAAATCGGCACTTGTAGCTGAAACGCCGCCGACAAATGAACTTGGATTATCAGTTGATATTAAATTCAACAACGGATACGTCTTGTTGTTTGATGCGGATGTAGTTCTTGAAGCGATGACCAATCCATTTGTATCAGATACTCGATAAATGTTCATAGTTTCACGATTTGCAGTTCCGCCATAGAAACGCAGATTATTTGTGCTTGATGTGCCTAAAGGCATCAATCCGACACCTGAACTATCAAGTGTCATTGTCTTAGAAGATTGAAACGTTCCTAGAGTTGTTAAATCATTGTAATTTAGTTCATTCGCATCAGCTGTCATAGTAAGCCCATTAATGTTCAATGTAGAATAACTAAGATTCAAGATCGAGCTCCCAGCTCCATTATCTCCAGTTATTGTATTACACGTGATAGAAGGTGAGGCAATTGATATTGAAGCAATGACATTTCGTGTAATGGATAAATCACGAAGTCCGGAAAATTCTAACGTTGAATTCAATACAACAGCTTTTGACGCTGCAGCTCCACCTAGAGTGACCCCAGTGTAGTAAGTATCGGGAAATGTAGTTCCTCTAAACGTTAAATTCGGCACATTTAGACCCGTTCCAGTTGAACCTAGATCTAGGTCGAGAACACATTCTTCTCATAGAGCTTGTCTAAAATGGACTTCATCTCAGTTTTGATTGATGGATTGTCATCCCCTATTCGACTCGCTCCTTGAAGCATCTTCAAGCGTTTTACTAATCCATCGAGAAGCTGATTGTATGAACTATCAAACTGCCTTGAAGTAATC